GTTGTAAAGAAAAAGAATGCAGTGCCCAGGTCACACACCATTGAGACAGATGGCAGGGAGTTCAGCAGAAACTATTGACATCTTCAGTTTGTTCCTGAGACTCAATAATCAACTGAGAACAAGATGCAGAACAAGGAAGAGGAAGATGAATCTACTCCGAACGTGCCAGGCGAGACATTGCAAGGGAAAGACAGCCTAGTCGCCAAGATGTTACCCATTGTGGCTATATGAAGAACCAGTATGATTCAGGGATGAGTAACACACAGACATGTATTGACATTCAAAAAGTAAGTTTGGAAAAAAAAACAGTTTTAGAGTTTTAAAGTTATTAAAATACAGAAAAGACCAAAAGGGGGGAGATGTGATGGGAAGCTTAAACTGCCTTATAACATGTAGTCACTCGGTGGCACTGGGTGAAGCGTCCAGTCACACATCTTGGCAGACTGTTGGAGGCAGGCTACACTTTGTGTACAGTAAAGTTTAGTGTGGTGGCTAGTGCCCGTTTTGCTGCTATTCCTGGGTGGCTAACCTGGTACAGCCATGTCCCACGCACTTCCCTCCCTCTGCCCTTGGGAAGCTCGCCCTCCCTCCTTGCTGCAGCTGCTCAGCTCTGGGCCTGCAGCCAGCTGCTCACCACAGGCGCCTTTCACTGGAGTTGACTTTGCTCTGCCCTGCCTGCTTGTGTCATCACAGCCCTTCACAGTGCAGTCCTCACCACCCCCTCTGCTCGGGGGCTGCTCTGGTGCTTGGGGGCCAGCAGCAGAGCAAACCTTCCCCTCCATGTGGGCAAGTCTCTTCGTTCTTTCCTTCAGTTCTTGCCTCTCTCTGGGGATGGGAAGTGCCCATTCAGTCCTGACACGGATCATGATGTGGGTCAGGCCGGTCACAGCAAGGCCCATGTGGTGTGGGGTCATGTCATGGGGCAGGCAGGTCTCAGCGATGCCCTTGTGGGGTCATGTCACGGGATGGGCAGGGCATGGGGAGGCCTGTGGAGTGTCGTGGGGTGGGGATGCTCAGGGGGGCGCAGCACCGTGAGGTGGGAAGGGCACAGGGAAGTCCTTGTAGCATGGTGTCATGATGTGGAGCAGGCGGCGCAGAGGGAGGCCTGTGAAGCACAATGTCACTGGGCAGCGTAGGTGGATCGCGGGGAGGCCTGTGGAACATCACCGGGCAGGGCGGGTGGGTCACCAGGAGGCCTGTGGAGTGCGGTGTCACAGGGCGGGACAGGGGAGGTCACCAGGAGGCCCGTGGAGTGCAGTGTCGCAGGGTGGGGTGGGGTGCGGGGGTTTCACCAGGAGGCCCGTGGAGTGCGGTGTTGCAGGGCAGGGTGGGGTGGGGGAGGTGTCACCAGGAGGCCCGCGGAGGGCAGAGTCACAAGGGAGGATGTGGTGGGGTCACCAGGAGGCCCGTGGAGTGCGGTGTCGCAGGGAGGGACGGGGGGGGGGTCACCATGAGGCCCATGGAGCACAGAGTCGTGGGGCAGGTGGGATGTGGGGAGGCCCGGGTGGTTGTGGCGAGTTTTATTGGGAGTAGCCCAGGAATCAGCGCTGCTTCCAAGATGCCATGGGAGACCTAGAGGATTGACTCTTCACACGGCTCTAACACCAGCTCTGACGCAGGATGTTTCCATTCTTATTGGAATCAGATTACTTGTGATAGCTTAGTCCAAATTGGCTCCTTAGCCCAAAGCCCGTTACCAGGGAGTTTTCACAAATGCTGCCCATTAATGCAAATTCGGAAGAAACGCTGAAGACCAAGCATCTTACTACAGAAGGGCCTGACCTCAGGGGGTGCCAGGTGCTCCCAACTTCCACCAGTGTCGAACAGGTCCCACAGCCTTGGACAGCTGCTCCCTGCCTGGGCTGCTATTCTCTGAGGGGCTCCATTCACCATTCCTGTACCACGCCCTCGCTGCCACCTCACACGCAAGTCAAGAGGCTGCTCTGCCATATCCCTGTTGTTTGAGGAACCCACAGAGGAAGTGCTGCAATTTAAAACAGCTGTGCCCATTTGTCTCAGCAGGACAATCTGGAGCTACAGCCTATAAAACAGAGCTGGAGAGGAAGTGTTTAATGACTTGGGCCCCGATAACTACCATGGGGGCCAAAATGCACTGCGGGAGCTGTGAAAAGTAGCAGATATGGGGTATGGCTCCCTTGGAATGTGACCCTGCCACCGTCCATTGCTGAAGGGGCAGTGGAGACCTCTCAGTGACTGTAAGGTTTCTGGAACGTGACAGCATCAGGGAAACAAGAATAAAAACCCTGTGCTCTGATAAAGCAACCAACAGCAAGCCACAAAACAGACAGGTGATAGTGATGATTCCATATGACCTTTCCTCCACGGATCTCAGAGCACTTTACAAGGATGGGTGAGTATTATTACATTCTTTGTACATATGGGAAACTGAGTCACAGAGTGCTAGTGTAACTTGCTCAAGGTCATGCAGCAAGCCAATGATACCACTGGGCATCGACCCTACGTTTCCTGATTCCCTGACCCCACCTCTAAATGCTAGACAACCAATGGACCACAACCCCAAGGCGTCATGAAAGGCAAGCAAGGGACGTGTGCTGTGGATGTTGCAAGGGGTTGAAAAATTTATAACAATCTCTAAAGTGAAAAAAAAAAACTTGCTGCCCCACTCCCTGCATAAACTTTTCCCTTCAAGGTCAAGAATTTGCTCTCAACATCTAGAAACACATCCAGCTGTAAGTCCTGTAGGCTTAGGATGGTTATCAGTGAGACATTTTTTATTTTTACTTTTATAGTAAGTGTAAGGAATGGTGGGGGTGATGAAAATAATTTTTTACTTTAAAGGAGGCATCACCAACCTAAAAGACTGAGAAACCCTGCACTGGACCACTCTGCCTCCTAGGCCAATACCGGTTGGGGTCAGGTTTTAACTTGTGACCAAGAGGTGAAACTTCCTTGCTTCTGAAAATGACCAAACTGGTCATACAGAACTCGAGATAGTCTGGCTGACTGTGGGGTCAACTTAGTTCATTTATTTGCCCTCAAATGCCCTCTCTGCTCTCCACTGGTGTGCATATCTCCTGAAATAGCCCTCCCTGTTAAGAATGATTCCACATTCACTCCATCCTTCCACCTGCTGCTCCCATCCCATGCCTGAGCACGCTGCAGTGAAAAGTGATGCAGCAGCGAAGGGCCAGTTCAAAGCACCGCATGACGCTAGTAAGAGAGGATTTACAGAGCCTTTGGATGGAAATTTTCACACAACGGCAGTTGTCCAACAGGACTTTCTTCTGCCAGGTTATGAAATATGTCAGCTGGGGTATCTGGCCTGGCCAACTTTCCTCTCTGGTGCAATGACAGAACGTAACCTTCATTGACACCGGGCAGCCAGGTGGGTTATGTTCGAACTGTACTGCGGGGGTTTCTGGGACTACAGCTGTGGTCTCCAGCCATCCAAACACCTGGATACATAGAATCATAGAATATCAGGGTTGGAAGGGACCTCAGGAGGTCATCTAGTCCAACCCCCTGCTCGAAGCAGGACAAATCCCCAATTAAATCATCCCAGCCAGGGCTTTGTCAAGCCTGACCTTAAAAACTTCTAAGGAAGGAGATTCTACCACCTCCCTAGGTAACGCATTCCAGTGTTTCACCACCCTCTTAGTGAAAAAGTTTTTCCTAATCTCCAACCTAAACCTCCCCCACTGCAACTTGAGACCATTACTCCTTGTCCTGTCCTCTTCTACCACTGAGAATAGTCTAGAACCATCCTCTCTGGAACCACCTCTCAGGTAGTTGAAAGCAGCTATCAAATCCCCCCTCATTCTTCTCTTCTGCAGACTAAACAATCCCAGTTCCCTCAGCCTCTCCTCATAACTCATGTGTTCCAGACCCCGCATCATTTTTGTTGCCCTTCGCTGGACTCTCTCCAATTTATCCACATCCTTCTTGTAGTGTGGGGCCCAAAACTGGACACAGTACTCCAGATGAGGCCTCACCAATGTCGAATAGAGGGGGGCGATCACGTCCCGCCATCTGCTCGCTATGCCCCTACTTATACATCCCAAAATGCCATTGGCCTTCTTGGCAACAAGGGCACACTGCTGACTCATATCCAGCTTCTCGTCCACTGTCACCCCTAGGTCCTTTTCCGCAGAACTGCTGCCTAGCCATTCGGTTCCTAGTCTGTAGCTGTGCATTGGATTCTTCCGTCCTAAGTGCAGGACTCTGCACTTATCCTTATTGAACCTCATCAGATTTCTTTTGGCCCAATCCTCCAATTTGTCTAGGTCCCTCTGTATCCTATCCCTACCCTCCAGCGTATCTACCATTCCTCCCAGCAACAATAAGCCCATTGAGAAGGGGTGTTTGTGATAAAGCACTACGCTGGGACTCAGGATGTTCAATGCGTGGCTCTGCCACAGATTCCGTGTGACTCCATCCAGCCCTTGATCCTGTTGCAGCCTGCTCCGGCCTTTGCCTGCTTCCATGCTAGCCAGCTCCTGTCTCAGCTGGCTGCCCAGAGAGTCTGACACCTGTCCTCCTTTCTTCTGTACTTCAGATGGAATTCTGTCTTTTCCTGTAGCCATTCCTGGTGCTAGGAGGTGACTGACTTTACAGACGGTTCTATATCAAGATCTTGGGTAATCTAGAGATCTCATTTAGAGCTACTTCAGAAACAGTGGTTTCACATGAACAGAGTTCCTGAAAGTGTTCCACCTGGCATTGCATCTATTTGCTTCTGTCGATGATGTCTCTAATAAGAGATTCGAGTGGGATGGTTTTCTTGGCTGAAAGACCTATTGATTTGATAGTCTGTTAGGGCTTTTCCTCAGCTAGCTGCTTTGACTCCGCAATGCTGAGCAAGAAATGTGGAAGTCTAAGTAAAAATATGTTTAATTTGAATTTTTTTTAAAAATGCAGAGACATTTTCATTGATCACAGGCTTTAAATCAGCATGTTACTAACCCATTAAAATGTGCCCTTCACAACCTCTAACAGAGTTAACTTAACATAGTACTCACCATCAGCAAACAGCCAGCAAAGACAGTGAATCCCTGTGCATGCAGCTGCTTAGCCAAGGCATGTCCAAAGCCTTTGTCACAGCCTGTTATTAGCACTGCCTTCCCGTCAACCTGTGCAGGGGAAGCCAACAGTTTAGAGGGAGTGGATACACTCTGTGATAGCAAGAGCTATTACAATGCTGCAGAAGCCCATTAAAATTACAATACATAGCACCGGTGCAGCTCGCAGCCCAACGAGTAGGCTTAGCACATGTCAATAGTATTTTAGTAGGGATATTGGCTACACCATATGTCAACAAGCCCTAAGTTGTTTTGAAGTTGTCCTGATTCTACCCCACCCCTTGCACTTCCATTTACACTCATGCACAGTGAGTGTGAGACATTACCAGACTCAAAACCCTCTACACATTTATAGCATTTCACACCTACTGTGCACAGCTGTAAATGACACCACCAGCTGCAAGGCACAATGGGCCTGACACTGCTGTCACACTGATTTTACACCAGTCTAACACCATTGACTTTCTCCTGGTTGACACCAGTGTAATTGAGATCAGAATGTGGGCATTTTTGTCCAGAAATGCAATGAGCTCTCTCTTGAAAATGCACTGTACAACACATAATACATGCTTCCATTCTAACAAGAAAACCAGATTTATGTTACAATGACACTGACAACAGTTCCCTTTTTAAAAAGTAAATCAACGTAGAGAGACAGAAAAAGGCAGCAAAATTTCAGACACCAGCAACAAGAGAAGATGACACCAAAATTCCACAAAACATATTCAGACTCATTTAGTAGGCTGGACACAGCAGTTGGGAGGAGCAGTGGACTGGGACTTCAGAAACCTGGGGTCTATTCACAGCCCTGCCTCTGCCCTGCTGGGTGACCATGGACAAGTTACCGCATTGCTCTGTGCCTCAGTTTCCTCACCTGAAAAAATGGGTCTAATGCTACTTATGTTGCTTGAGCTCGATGGATGAAAAAATGATGTATAAGAGCTAGGTGGTATTGTTATTGCTCCCCATCAGGATGGACACAAAAGTTGCTCATGTACATGTGAAGAGCAAGTGCAAAACTAAAATAATAAGAACGACTCACAAAGATTAACCTGTGTTTAATGTATAAACAGACCTGTGAATTCTTATTCACATGTTCAAAATGAAAACAACTGGTCAGTTATTGCTGCAATATAGGAAAGATAGAATCATAAAAATGTAGGTCTGGAAGGGCCCTTGAGAAGTCACCTAGTCCAGCCCCTGCACTGAGGAAGGACCAAGTAAACCTAGACCAACCCTGTCAGGTGTATATCCAACCTGTCCTTAAAACCCACCAGTGATGGGGATTCCACAACCTCCCTTGGAAGCCTCTTCCAGAGCTTAACTACCTCTGTAGTTAGAAAGTTTTTCTAGTATCTAATCTAAATCTCCCTTGCTGCTGATTAAGCCCATCACTTCTTGTCCTACCTTCAGTGGACATGGAGAGCAACTGATCACTGTCCTCTGTATAAGAGCCCACAACATATCTGAGGACAGTTATCTGATCCCCGCCCCGCACCCCCAGTCTGCTCAGTATTTTAACCTTTCCTCATAGGCCAGGTTTTCTAATTGTTTGATCATTTCTGTGGAATACCTTACTTAATGATATTTTAGAGTGATTCAACAGGGCATGCAAGAATGCAGAATGTATGTTAGCAGGTCTTTTTGATACACTGCAAAGTCCAACTTGCCAGTGCATGAACACTTAATCTGGCTTTAAGGTATTCGATTGGTATTATCTTTTTTCAATGGGTGGGTACACTGATGCACAATGATTCAATGTCTTGTCTAATGTCATAAGAACAGCCATACTGGGTCAGACCAAAGGTCCATCTAGCCCAGTATCCTGTCTTCCGACAGTGGCCAATGCCAGGTGCCCCAGAGGGAATGAACAGAACAGGGAATCATCAAGTGATCCATCCCCTGTCGCTCATTCCCAGCTTCTGGCAAAGAGGCTAGGGACACCATTCCTGCCCATCCTAATAGCCATTGATGGACCTATGCGCCATGAATTTATCTAGTTCTTTTTTGAACCCTGTTATGGTCTTGGCCTTCAAAACATCCTCTGGCAAGGAGTTCCACAGGTTGACTGTGTGTTATGTGAAAAAATACTTCCTGTTGTTTGTTTTAAAGCTGCTGCCTATTAATTTCATTTGGTGGGCCCTAGTTCTTGTGTTATGAGGAGTAAATAACACTTCCTTATCTACTTCCTCAATCATATCTCCCCTTAGCCATCTTTTTTCCAAGCTGAAAAGTCTCAGTCTTATTAATCTCTCCTCAGACAGAAGCCGTTCCATACCCCTGATAATTTTTGTTGCCCTTTTCTGAACCTTTTCCAATTCCAATATATCTTTTTGGAGATGGGGCGACCGCATCTGCAGACAGTATTCAAGATGTGGGCATACCATGGATTTATATAGAGGCCACATGATATTTTCTGTCCTATTATCAATCCCTTTCTTAATTATTCCCAGCATTCTGTTAGCTTTTTTGACTGCCCTGCACATTGAGTGGATGTTTTCAGAGAACTATCCACAATGACTCCAAGATCTTTCTTTCTTTCTCTTGTGTTATGAGAAGGAGAAAAGAACACTTCCTTATTTACTTTCTCCACACCAGTCAGGATTTTATAGACCTCTATCACAGGGGTTGGCAACCTTCGGCACGCAGCCCATCAGGTTAATCTGCTGGTGGGCCGCGAGACAGTTTGTTTACATTGACCGTCCACAGGCAGGGCCCCTGCAGCTCCCAGTGGCCACGGTTCACCGTTCCTGACCAACGGGAGCTGTGGGAAGTGGCGGCCAGCACATCCCTGCGGCCCACCGCTTCCCGCAGCTCCCATTGGCCGGGAACAGTGAACCATGGCCACTGGGAGCTGCGGGGGGCCGTGCCTGCAGACGGTCCACGTAAACAAAATGTCTCATGGCCCACCAGCAAATTACCCTGATGGGCCGTGTGCTGAAGGTTGCTGACCCCTGCTCTATCATATCCCCTCTGAGTCGTCTCTTTTCCAAACTGAAAAGTCCCAGTCTTATTAATCTCTCCTCATATGGCAGCCATTCCATGCCCCTAATAATTTTTGTTGCCCTTCTCTGCACCTTTTCCAATTCCAATAAGTCACACAGTAAGCCAGTGGTAATTTTGAGCACAGAACCCAGAAGTCCTTAAACACACAATCTTGTGCTCTAACCCCTAGGACATACTCCTTCCCCCTTTGACTGAACTCCCCGTCCCCTATTCTGTTCATCATGGTACTGTCAGTTATGTGAAACAATTAAATTTAAAAGCTTAAGTGAGCCAGCAACACCAAATTGTGTGTCCTGTTTATGACTGTAATGTTCTATAGCTCTCCAAACTGAAGCTAGGGCTGTATAATATAGAGTTTGTATAGGCTTCCTTGCGGCACTATCTTTCAGGCGATGATGATATAGAATAAAAAATAGTAAGAGGAAGCAATAAGGAACTTAGGTTTAAAATGTCTCTGGGGAGTGGCTTGCAACCCAATATTCCCTGTGTTACGCTACAAGAGACAGTTTCTGGAATAAGGGCCTCGCACTCTGGCAACTTGTCCAGCTGTCCCTTCCAGATGCTCATGCTCCTATTTTTTGTTTTTGCTGATGTATGTAGCAATAATAAGGTAAGGGGATTAATGTGGAAGAACTACAGTGTGATAAGGATCAGATCATAGACAGAAGCAGGCAGAGCAGAAACTGATAAGGGAATGAGTTACATCCCATCCTTTACCCACTGAATCATAGAAGATCAGGGTTGGAAGGGACCTCAGGAGGTCATCTAGTCCAAACCCCTGCTCAAAGCAGGACCAATTCCCAACTAACTCATCCGAGCCAGGGCTTTGTCAAGGCTGACCTTGAAAACCTCTAAGGAAGGAGATTCCACCACCTCCCTAGGTAACCCATTCCAGTGCTTCACCACCCTCTTAGTGAAAGAGGTTTTCCTAACATCCAACCTAAACATCCCCCACTGCGACTTGAGACCATTACTCCTCGTTCTGTCATCTGCTACCACTGAGAACAGTTTAGATCCATCCTCTTTGGAACCCGCTTTCAGGTAGCTGAAAGCAGCTATCAAATCCCCCCTCACTCTTCTCTTCTGCAGACAAAACAATCCCAGTTCCCTCAGCCTCTCCTCATAACTCATGTGTTCCAGTCCCCTAATCATTTTTGTTGCCCTCTGCTGGACGCTTTCCAATTTTTCCACATCCTTCTTGTAGTGTGGGGCCCAAACCTGGACACAGTACTCCAGAGGAGGCCTCACGGACGCCAAATAGAGGGGAACGATCACGTCCCTCGATCTGCCGGCAATGCCCCTACTTTTTCACCCCAAAATGCCTTTAGCCTTCTTGGCAACAAGGGCACACTGTTGACTCATATCCAGCTTCTCGTTCACTGTAACCCCTAGGTCCTTTTCCGCAGAACTGCTGCCTAGCCATTCGGCCCCTAGTCTGTAGCTGTGCATTGGATTCTTCCGTCCTAAGTGCAGGACTCTGCACTTGTCCTTGTTGAACCTCATCAGATTTCTTTTGGCCCAATCCTCCAATTTGTCTAGGTCCCTCTATATCCTATCCCTACCCTCCAGCGTATCTACCGTTCCTCCCAGCAACAATAAGCCCATTGAGAAGGGGTGTTTGTGATAAAGCACTAGGCTGGGACTCAGGACGTTCAATGCGTGGCTCTGCCACAGATTCCGTGTGACCTGCGGCTAATCACTTAGTGGCTCTGTGCCTCCGTTTTCTCCATCTAAAATGGAGACAGTAGCACTGCCTGGCCTCACAGGGTGCCATAAGCATAATAAATACATTAATGACTGTGAGGTATTTGGATACTACTGTGATATAGAAGTAGTTAGACGCACTGCACACACATCTCCCAGTGTGTGTGTACAAGTGATTGGTTTGTGTGAGCAAACACCATGAGCACACACACTCACACACAGTGTTGTACACCCATTCAGAGTTGTGGCTGTGCAAATGTACACCTTTCAAAATAGATCTCTGTGTAAATACCTCATGTTCCTGCTCTTTATTCCAGCTCATAGAAAGACTGCTCATAAGA